CAGTCATCGCCGTCGTGCTGTTCCAAGACTGCCCTAATGCCATGGCCGAAAGCGTCCGTAGTCACTCGCGTCGGCAGGGTGGGGTCATAGATGCTGAGGACGGGTGCCATGAGCATAGTCGTCTTAAGTGCTTGGAATGACCTGCGTGCGGCATCATCGAATACGAATGGCACCTTTGGCGACTGTAACCTCGTCATAGGTGCAGCAATCCTGGAGTATTCGGTGATGAATCGTTGATAGTAGCCCGCCAATCCCATGAATGAACGAACGTCCGTGGTGTTGGTGGGCTCGGGCCATGCTCGTAGGGCCTCGATCTTGTCCGCAAGCGGACGGATGCCTTGCGGCGTCACATAGTGTCCCAAGTATTCCAGCTCCTGATGTGCGAACTCGCACTTGTCGCGGTTTGCTTTGTACTTGGCTTGTCGTAGTCGCTCCAAAACGGTGTGCAGGTGTTCCACATGCTCGTCCAAACTCCGACTATACACCAAGATGTCGTCGAGGTAGATGAGTACAAACCGATCCAGCATGTGTCGGAACTCCGTTGTCATAGCCGCTTGCAAAGTGGCTGGGGCATTCGTAAGGCCAAACGGCATGACCAACCATTCGAAATGCCCATACCGTGTCTTAAACGCCGTCTTGTAGCGATCCTCCTTGCGAATCTCGAGTTGGTGGTACCCTGACTTGAGATCTAGCTTAGAGAAGAACTGAGCGGCGCCCAATCGCTCGAGAAGGTAGTCGATGCGTGGGAGAGGGCCGGCGTTCCTGATCGTCTGCGCGTTGAGCTTGCGATAATCGATGCACAACCGCACGTCCTTGTTCTTCTTCCGGACGAAGAGGACAAAGGCACCGTATGGCGATGAGCTAGGCCGAATCCAACCTTTCTCTAGAAGATCGTCGAGTTGTGCATGGAGCACACTTAACTCTTCCTCGCTCATTCGGTAGATGCAGCCGCGCGGAGGTACGGCCCCGTCCTCGAGGATGATCTCGTGGCGGATGGGCCGATCCGGTACTACTCCGTGCGGGCCTTCAAACGCGTCGCTGTAAGCGTCGAGAAGCTCGGTGATGCGTGGATCCGAAGATGAGTCCGTCGATGAAGCGTCTCGGGGCGGGAGGGCGTGGAGAAAACATACCCCCATCTCCTCGATGTCATCTCTGATGATGGATGCTCGCATGCTTGCGGCGGATACCACGTGGCAGTTGATAGAAGGATGAGGAAGAGGCACCGTGCATGGAACTAGTACTCCGTTCCGATCACGAATGTGAACGGTGCGGTTGAAGAAGTTCACCGGGTCATCCTCGCTTCGCAGCCATGACATGCCCAAGATCATGTCGAATTTGGTGTC